CCCTTCATTGGGTTTCCAAGGCTGTAAATCGCATGAGAGGAGAATGCCCATCTTTCTCCCACAGAACCACTGGTGAATTCAGACAATAAGAGAGGTATGGCCTTTGGACTAGCGGCACAACTCCCTGTGAACCAGAGCTCCCCACCTTGGTATACGTTAAGTATTTACTAATTTTTGGTATCTTCGTTGTTGATGTTCTAAAAGCTACTTAATTCTGGCAGAGAAAGGTCTTTTTTCACAGATCATCTCTACGTAAACTTCTTGATAACTTAAGTCCTCTATTTCAGTCTCCAAAGCATAGATTTTTCTGTAGCAGGAGGTGGTTAATTGAATTGTAGCTTCCTTCCCATTCCCTCAAAATATGTGTTGGAGTCCTCCACCTATGGCTGTGAATCTAAAATTTGGCCATAGCAGTTTTCTTCTGTTATGTCATTGAAGTGTAAGGTTGATCCTAAACTTCATTGCTTCTGAGTTATAAAGAAAATTGAATAGCCACAAATATACACAGTGCAGGAAGACAGATCACACTATGAGAAGTATGTATAAGCCAAGGAACAAGGAAGGCGTTAACGTGCTTTGTGGGAGAAAGTTGGGCAGACAACTTCAAGTGATTTACTGCCTCTGAAGACCCACTGGAGGGTGAGCTATGGGTTGGTTGCAGTTACATGGTACACAAGAACAACAAGAAGCCTTTTTTTTAGTTACTCCCTAAAAGATTTAACTTTCGTCAGCTTCAGCTTGAATTTGCATATGAGTAGTTGGTGGTCTGTTCCACAATCAGCACCCGGCCTAGTTTTCACAGCTGATATTGAGCTTCTCCAGTGGTTCTTGCCACAGATGTAATCAATCTGATTCCTATACATACCATCACGTGAAATTCAAGTGTATAATCTGTGTTTATGTTTCTTATAAAACATATTTGCAATGAATATGTCATTGATTGTGCAAAATTCATAATTCTATCTCCAACTTCATTTCTGTCACCGAGTCCATGTTTTCCGACTACTTATCCTTCTTCTCTGTTCCCAACTTTTGCGTACCAGTTACCCATTATTATTAATGCATCTTGATTGCATGTTCGATTGATCTCTGACTGTAAAAGTTGATAGAAATCTTCTATTTCCTATTCTTTGGCTCTGGTTGTTGGTACATACGTGGATCACAACAAACTGTGGTTGACCCTGAGAAGAATGGGAATCCCAGAACACTTGATCGTGCTAATGAGAAACCTATTCTTAGACCAGGAGACAGTCGTCAGAAAAGAACAAGGAAACACTGCATGGTTCAAAATTGGGAAAGGTGTACACCAGGGATGTGTCCTATCTCCATACTTTTTCAGCCTATATGCAGAACAGATTATTCAGGAGGCTGGGCTCTATGAGGAAAAGTGTTGCATCAGGATTGGTAAAAGATTCATCAACAATCTGCCTTATGCAGATGACACAACCCTGCTTGCTGAAACTGAGGAGGACCTGAAGCGCTTGCTGCAGAAGGTCAAGGACTGCAGCCTTCAATATGGATTGAAGCTCAATATCAAGAAGACAAAGATTCTCACCACTGGGCCAATTGGCAACATTAGGATGGATGGTGAAGAGATTGAGATTGTCAACAGCTTTAGTTTGCTTGTCTCCACAGTCAACACTCTTGGCACCAGTAGCCAGGAAACTAAAAGACGTATGGCAATGGGAAAGTCTGCTGTTAGGGACCTCTCCAAAATGCTGAAGAGCAATGGTGTCTCTCTGGAGACTAAGGTGCACCTGATACACACCATGGTCTTTGCAATCACTTGCTATGCATCAGAGAACTGGACAATGACTAGCGAAGACAGAAAGAGAATTATGCCTTTGAGCTGTGGTGCTGGAAAAGAGTATTGAATATACCATGGACTGCTAAGAAAATGAACAGGTTCATCTTAGAGAGGGTTAAACCAGGCTGCTCCTTGGAGGCAAGGATTCTAAAGCTTCATCTGACATACTTTGGACATGTTGCAAGGAGGGACCAGTCCTTGGAGGACGTCATTCTTGGGAGGGTGGAGGGACAGCACAAGAGAGGAAGACCATCTATGAGGTGAATTGATTCAGTGACTGGAGTAATGGGGATAGGTATGTCGGAGACAGACTGGCACAAGATAGAGAAGGATTTAGGGCTGTTTAGTCACTATGAGTTGCAGGCGACTAGACGCACATAACAACAACAACCCTGAAAGATTAGATAGATAGATAGATAATAGATAGAGATAGATATATATGCTGTGTATTAATTTTCTAGGGTTACCATAACAAAAGACTACAAATTAGAAGGCTTATAAGAATAAATTTAGTATGTTCTAGAAGTTTGAACAATTCTTACCAACTCCATTTAGCAAATGCCTGCCATGTACCAAGTAAACACTCTGGGCCAACCTCCAAGCGTACAGAGGCTAACACAAATAAGCTTACTGTTCTCTTGGATTCTAGATTCTCAGGGTTGAGAATCTCTGCCTTGGGAAATCTTCATTTACAGTTGCATTTGATTTTCTGGGTACATTATTGTTGTTGTTGCGTGCCATCAAGTCCACTCTGTTTCCCAATCCCAAAGCTGCAATCCCAAGAACAATGGATCTCAACCTTGCGCTACCCTGCAACATTCTCACAATCTCTAATATGCTGGAACCTGTTGTTAAAATCACTGTATCAGCCCGTCTTGTTGAAGGTCTTCTTGTCTTTCTCTGAACTTCTACCTTTCCCAGCATGAGGTCTTTTTCCAAGGACTAGCCGCTTCTGACAACATGCCCAAAGGATGCGATACAAAGTTTCACTCTCCTTGCCTCTCAGGTGCACTCACTTGCACTTTTCCTTGACAGACGTGTTCTTCTGAAAGCAGTCTATGGGATGTTCAGCACTCCAACACCATAATTTAAAGGCATCAGTTCTTCCGCCAACCTCATGCAATTGTCCAACTTGCAGGTGCATCGAGAGCAGCTGAAAAAGACCATGGCTTAAAATCAGGTGCACATTAGGTGACATCTTTGCTCTTGGCACTTTTGGAGAGTTCCTTGACAGGAGATGTTTTTTCCCCCCAGTGCAACCATTCTTTTGATTTCTTGACTGCTCTTACCAGAGCAGGGGTTGATGGTAGATCCCAGTGAAATGAAATCATTGATAACTTCAATCTTTTCTACATACATTATAATGTTACCTATTGGACCAGCCTCTGTAAGTGTGTAAACCTGGAGTCTTAAAGACTTGTATGTTCGGATCCACATTTTTCTCTCTTTTTATCACATCCTAATATTCAGTAGTGTCCAGAATCAGTGTTTCTGGCAAAAATATTCAGTAGTGCAGCCAGGTACCATCTAGTTGTAGTTTCAAGGTGTCATGCAGACCAGTTTCTTTTTTGATTTTTGGATTTCCTTCTTTCTCTTTTGTTGTAAAAAAAAAAAAAAAAAACAACCTTAGATGGCCAGTCATAGGTTTTAACTCACACACACCCCCAGTCACTACTCAACATATTGAGAGGTCGAACATAAATGTTAGGAGCTATATTATATCAGTCCACTGGCTTGATCTACAAGACCATAGCCCACAACCACCACATCAAGAAAACTAATCCCCTGAGTTGATGGGATAGGTCTATTTATTATCTGTAGCCCAACCTCTCTTTTTCTATGGTTTTGTTGTTGTTAAAACTTTACACAACCTAGCATTTGCCCATTCATCCCTTTTCCCTCTATATACAGTTTATTGGCAATAAGTAAATCAGTCATGCTGTGCAAACTTCATCACACTCAACGCTGTCTTTGACTTTGCTATGAACAAACCTGGACCTTAGTAATATTTCTCCCTCTCCTCCCCTGGCCTGCACTGCCCCAGTAAACTCTCAGAATCAAACAGTGCACATTTCTATCAGTTCATATCATTCCTTAATTTGAAAACATACAGTATGTGTCTTTTTTTATGATTGTCTTACTTCACTCACTACCTTATCCTCCAGATTCATCCAAGTTGTGAAATATTTCAGGAACTCGTTTTTCTTTATTACTGACTTGTATTCACGAGCAGGCTCCTCTCATGCAATATATAGCATCTCAGAACCTACTGGAGGATCAGCTGTGAGTAATTTCTGAGTCCTAACAACAGTACTCCAGTGGATCCACGTTTTGCTTGTTCATTCATCTCTTGATGGGCAGTTGGTTTGTTTTTCATTCTGCTATTATGTGCATGCTGCAGTAAACAAAGGTTTGCATATGGCTGCTGGTGTTACTTCTATTAAATCCCAATATTAAAATAACGTTGACACCCAAGCAAGGTGTGCTAACTGCTTTTAGTTTACCATCTCACTTAACTTTACAATAATTCTGTTGTTGTTGTATACTGTCAAGTTGGAACTAACACATTGCTGTCCCTCTAGCAGATTTCCACCAGCAGTTAATCACACAAGAAGAGATTGCCCATCCTTCTCCCATGGAGTAGCTGATGGGTTCAGACAGTGTGCCTTGGCTGTGGCAGTGCAGCTCTTTACCACTAGACCATGAGATAGAGATTCTTTTTCCCATTTCGAATTAAGGGACTGAGACTCAATTTTGGTTATGTGACCAACTAGCTAATAAAATGCCAAGTGTTAGGAAGTCCAGCCATCTGAACTCAAGATTCTGGCTAAACAACACCCCCATACTGCCTTCTTTTTGTGTGGAGGGGAGGAGGTAGGGGTCTTTCTTACATTGGGTACGTGATGGGGTTTGTTTTGAGTTTCAATAAAGGAATGTGAAAAAGAGGGTAGGAAAAATGATAATCTCATTTCCTAAGGAAACTTTAATACATTGTTGAAAGGAACATTGTCTCTTGATTGAATGTAGTCTTAATTTGAAAGTGCAAGCCTTCATCTTCAAGCAGCACATGTGGACGATAAGATGTCCATAAAAGTTCTCATTCCTCATTCATTTTATTTGGTTCATTCCATTGCATAGTTAATGTTATAACTAGGAAAGATTTTATTTGCATTTTCTTCTCCACAGATAGGCCATGTCTGGCCCAACCGATGAGACTGCTGGAGACCTGCCTGTGAAAGATACGGGTCTAAACGTCCTTAAAATGGGTGGGTTACAAGGTTTAGCCAGCTGTTATTTATTACAGTTATGAACTTTGATCAGTAACTTTACTTTTAATTTAAAGGTTTTTTTCTGATATTCATACAAAGCAAGCCACTTAAGTAACTATCATTCCTGATTGGACTAAATAAGAAGACGGAGAGTTTAGAACAACATATGGTATTTTATTGCATGCATCAATTATCAACAGCTCATAGAAAATGTAAAATCTTCCTCTGTTCTGATAAAGAATTGTTATAAGTCATCTTTTTAAAATTCCACACATCAGTAGAACCATGCAGGGAATATCAAACCTCAAAACTGAATTGCCTGGCTTAAATCACATTCACTATTAAAACCTTTATCTTTAAATTTTATATGGGAGGAAATGCCATATTTAAAAATTTTTCTTTTAAGTAAAAGTATCTCAAAATGGCTTGTTTATCTGAGTGATAGTGACTTTATTTTAATTAAATTAATATACATTAAAGGCTTTCATTATTCTTTTATTGTTTAGTGGTTGCTGTAGAGCTAAA